ACAGTCCTGTAAAATATTCTGGATAAAAACGGATTTCATTTTCTGATTAGGAAATATGGTTGATTGAATCAATAATTCAGTTTATGTAAGTAATTATCCCTTAACCACACTATTCATATCAATCAAGGTGATAAGTTGCACAATGTATATTATGGTATCACAGCATTTTATTGGCATGTTATAACAAACATTTTCATGTTACCACATTGCTGCATTAGTATTCATATTTTCAAGTAGTTGATTTCGTTTATACAAAAAATCATTTTCATCTATGTTATCCACGGTTTTAATGAATTAAATACTATTTACCATTTATCACTATGAGGTATTGTTGAGACACTTGAATTTGTAGTTTCACATCACAGATTGATTATTGTTAGACAGTCACCGATTGTCTAGAGATATTTACCATTTGATTTATCTCAGTATAGGACTCTTCAGCAATACACATCTACAACCTCACAAAAGATAGAACACAGGATCTTGAGCAAGCGATTAACTTTTAGTTTACATAGTTTACATTTTAATGTTTGTTTCAAAATGAATGAATTATTTTGGAAAATAAGAAAATTTAAGGTAACAGATTGATTTTTCATGCAATTGGTTCCCTTTATGAATTTAAATAAAGCAAGAACAAACATTGATGCAGAATAGTATGAATTCATATTATTTCGAGGTTTCTCGTCAGCTGCTTACAAACCAAAATTGTGATAGAATTTTTACATGAAGATAGTGTGAAACAATTGACATAAATGAGTGTAAATAACGTGATTACAAAAATAACTATATATATATGGTAGAAACAGGTCAGAGGTCAAAAGAGGGAGGTTAATCCAGGGTGGGTGGTGTAATAATTTAGTGAAGTTCATAAATTGTGTGATAATTGTAGAAATTAATGGAATTGACTAATGATAAGGTAGATTACGTAATAATAATTAAGTTAAGATGATTTAAGAGGATCAGGTGGTGGAAATGTGTGAATAAAATTTATTTTAAGAATTAGGCAATAGGGGGGGAGTGTAAAATTATCTTAGAATAAGTAAATGAATAAAATAACCAAAACACAAAACAAACAGAAACAAAAGGATTACCAGGGTAGTGATAAGTTTATTAAAGTCTCATTTTGGATGCATAAGTCCGGTTTCAGTTTCTTAATTGCAATGGCTTCAGCAAAGCGGAGAGTGGTGGTGGTTCTTTGTCTATTGATAATTTTAAACGCGCACATAATATCGACGGTATGCCCGGTGTCAAGTAGATGCCGAGCTATTGCGCTGTTAAAAGCTTTAGTCCCTCGCAGCGTCAAGTTTTTCGGAATATGCTCAGAAATGCGAACCTGTACTCTTCTCTCAGTTCTTCCAATGTATGTGCTACGGCACGTACATGTGAATTGGTAAATGCAGTTGGAGCAACAGAGGGGAGAGGACTTGTCGATTTTCGTTTGTTTCAGTTTACCAGTTACACATTTACCAATTCACATGTACGTGCCGTAGCACATACATTGGAAGAACTGAGAGAAGAGTACAGGTTCGCATTTCTGAGCATATTCCGAAAAACTTGACGCTGCGAGGGACTAAAGCTTTTAACAGCGCAATAGCTCGGCATCTACTTGACACCGGGCATACCGTCGATATTATGTGCGCGTTTAAAATTATCAATAGACAAAGAACCACCACCACTCTCCGCTTTGCTGAAGCCATTGCAATTAAGAAACTGAAACCGGACTTATGCATCCAAAATGAGACTTTAATAAACTTATCACTACCCTGGTAATCCTTTTGTTTCTGTTTGTTTTGTGTTTTGGTTATTTTATTCATTTACTTATTCTAAGATAATTTTACACTCCCCCCCTATTGCCTAATTCTTAAAATAAATTTTATTCACACATTTCCACCACCTGATCCTCTTAAATCATCTTAACTTAATTATTATTACGTAATCTACCTTATCATTAGTCAATTCCATTAATTTCTACAATTATCACACAATTTATGAACTTCACTAAATTATTACACCACCCACCCTGGATTAACCTCCCTCTTTTGACCTCTGACCTGTTTCTACCATATATATATAGTTATTTTTGTAATCACGTTATTTACACTCATTTATGTCAATTGTTTCACACTATCTTCATGTAAAAATTCTATCACAATTTTGGTTTGTAAGCAGCTGACGAGAAACCTCGAAATAATATGAATTCATACTATTCTGCATCAATGTTTGTTCTTGCTTTATTTAGATTGATTTTTTCCTGATTATCAAAAGTCATTTTAATTTTGTGATAATTGTGAATCAAACAAACAAAAACAACGTGCCAATAAGCAAATTAACAAAAGAAATTATTTTATGATTTTTATTCTCAACTAAAGCAGAGATAAAATTATTTGATTAATGTAAATTTAATACGATGCAAACCGTTGTTTTATTTCAGCCATAGAATGCTTCAAAAATGGGCTGAATGTTAATACAATATCTATATATGGATTGTTATTTAGTAGATTTTATATGTCCTCTAATTACAAACTATCATTCAGTTATATGAGATATTAGAAATCAGTGAACAATAAACAGCTGTTTCATACTTGTTTAAGACTCCTCAGTTATGAATACATCTTGACCTTACATACTGTCAAATGAGAACTGAAACATACATTTATCGAGTGACCATCTGTTGGCTAACTATAATCCTATGATTGAATATCATGAAACCTTACATATATCAATAGCTATTTTGACAATAATTGATTTTCGTGTTCCGTATTGACAGTTAGATATACCTTTTTGTAAGAGAAACAAATTATACTGTTTGAAGATCTGATTTTAGCGATTCATTATTGATGATCTCTTATTTATCCAAACGTTATCCTAAAGGTCATATCTCGGTTACAATGAATTGGATCATTTCTCTCCATATCAAGTTTTTTTCCATGCTAAAATTCATAATATATGTTATTCAATATAGAGTTTGACAACTAATTAGTTATGAGTATTGATGATAATTAGTTTCAGTCATTACCGATTGAACTACTTTCTATCTCTATCTCATTCTTACTACGAGAGTAAATTCAACTATAAACTGAAAAGCTACAATAAATCTTTTCATGTTTATTATTATTTGACAGAATGAATTTTTATTCTGTGTAAATCAGGTAAAAAAAAAACTAGATAACGTGTCTTCTTCTGGTTGTTGTTGTCGTTTCATTTTACTTCGACATTAAATTATTTCTCATATAATTAACTTTTATTAATGAGTTTATAAAATGAAATTCTTAACACCAATCAAACATACGCATTTACATGTACTATATACTATGTAAAGGGGTATTTACTACACACATAGAATAGAGAAAAGATAGAGTAATTTATAGTAATTAATTTCTTTTTGATGTACAGAATGAAAAAAAAAGATGGATGGCAGTAAATTGAGTTTATATTGATGATAGGATGTGACATGAACTAGAATTAATGATGAGTAACAAGGAAAGAAATCGGTATCATTTATAAAGAAACAATTTTTCCTGGTTTACATTTAAGTGTTTTGTTAATATGGGGATAAATTACATGTAAGTTAACTTTGCTATTCATTCTCTTTTGTAATCAACAATATGGTAAAAACAAATATCAAAAGATTTTTAAGTTTGGATCAAACGTAGTTTAGAAATAATTCATTTTGAAATTTCATCAGTCTTGGTTGGATTAAGTGCGTACTGTATGGAATGCCATTGAAAACATTATAATACTAACTAAATAGAATCAGTGAAGTTAATTTTCTTCATTCGCTAACACAAACGTGAAGAGCCATTGATAATTAGACAACAATGGACAATTATTACGCTTTAATTTAATAACCCTACCCCATATTCTACCTAGAATCTAACACACTATCATGACATTATGCTATGACTGACATATCTTTAGATAGCTGAGTTGTACGATAAAGTAGGAACGATTGGAAGGTATCTCTCTGATACGGGGGAGACTTACGTATTAATGAGAGCTCGACAGTGGATTGCCAAAACACTCCAACACTATTTATCCTTGACATGATTGTAGAAAGAAGACAGGAATTCAGAAACACTTTGATATCCCGAAAAACCAAAGCTTTATAACAACAACTATGACCTTGGAACGTAACATAAATACCAGCCTAAAGGTGGAAGGAACCAATTAGATAAAAATTATTAGGGTAATATTAATTGGATAATGGGCTAAAGTTGTAGTTGACACAATCAATAATAATAGTTTATAAATGAATTTTGGGAGTTTAATGGAAGACAAATATCATTCGTATTGTTGATGCATTCATTTTTCACTAATAACAAAATTTAAGCTTAATTTTATTTAAGTAGATTTTTTGAGATTTTTAAAATTTCTATAGGGCAATGAGAAAACGGAGTTGATCTGAAATATATTAAATGTATTTGCGCTAGACATTCCGAACAATCTGGTCATATAAAATGTCCTGAGAAGTATATATGTGACCAGATTGTTCGAAATGTATAACACAAATACATCTAATATATTTCAGATCAACTCCGTTTTCTCATTGCTTTATCGAAATTTATAAAAAGTAGTAACTGCTTTAAATTTTTAAAATTTGAATAAACTTTGATGTGTACACATCAGTAACTATTGCTTTGAATTTGATCTAACATATTGGTATCAAATTGGTACACTCAACTTTCTTGAATTATAATTGGAAAATTATTGATGCATTCATTTCATATTAAACTGAAGATAAATTAGAACTCATGGCATTTTATATATTTTGAGTCAAATAAGATCGTAATATACTAACCAATGAAAAATTCACTTTATTTATATAACAACACAGTTATAAATAAATGAATAGTGATTGTCTTTAGGTGCACTATCGTTAAGAGTGTATCGTATAACAATGTCGATCTCCAGATTAGTAGTAAATAAGTTTTTTTAAGTATATTTAATAGTTTTAATAAAAAATGAATTTCACCTCATTACATTCATTGAAGACTAGAAATATGAATTGGTCCACCACTTCGAAATATACCAATGAACATATTCAGTCAAATTTATTTACCGAACAAAATACTCATTACTTTCCTTCCTATACTCTATCGAATATGAAGGTTTTTGAGAAAATAGTTTACCCATTTCAAAACGGAGTTGTTCAGAAAGAATCTAAAAAATATTTACATTCTCAAAACCAAGATAACATTACTTCAACAAGTCAAGAATATGAAATGCTGGACCCATTATACAGTGTTGAAAACTATCAAGACCATTACATTGAGAAATATCCTCATTATTATTCATTAACATCCACATCACTACAGGAATCAATAAATTCCCAATCAATTAACAAAGAACGTGTATCATTTGCAGATAATCTCTATGACTCTTGTTACTTACGTATTCATAATGACAATAATAATAGTAATAAACTTGATAATAAAAATAATAATTACACAGGACTTCAGGATGAATATACAGGTCTAAATGCTATACCTACTTGTTTCAAATGCTATCACTCTACTTCAAATTATCAACAACATTCTGTACAAAAGTATCTCTTTGATCAAACCAGCACTGATATGAATAAACATAAACAAATTCCAGATCATTTCAATACTGTAAAACGTGATAATATTGAAGATGTAAAACAGACAAGTATGGAGTTAAATGAGGAAAGACTTAGTGTAGTTGGAACAAAGACTTTAACATGTCAATGGAAATCATGTCGCTTGGTAAGCAATTATGTAATTCAAATAATTTTGACTATGTTTCTTATATGCTTTTAATATGGGAAAGTGATTTTGTTCGTCACTAAAATTTAAAAGTTTATTGAATCAGAATTCTTCAAGAAAATTCGTATCAGGTACTGCTTTTAAAGGAACGACTATAGCAAACCAAAATTAATTGAGTAAAGTTTCCGCACTTGTGTGAGACTCAACTGCAGTCCTCACCCATAACTCTATCAGTAACTGAAAATGTAATCTTCAGTACAGTGATAGATTCGTATCACTGGTGTCGTTGAGTAATTTCCTACCGATATCACTAATTGAATCAAGCGTTTTGTTAAAACTCAACTCTTCGTTTTTCTTACGCTATATTAATTTAATATATTCACTGTCTTTATCCAATAGACATTTACCGATCATAAATCATTTGTAAATCATATTGAATCATCACACGTCAGTTCACATATATCGAATAAAGAATATTACTGTTATTGGGAAGGTTGTCGACGTCAATTGAAACCATTCAATGCGCGTTATAAATTAATTGTTCATTTACGCATTCATAGCGGTGATCGACCAAATAAGTGTACGGTAAGTTAGAATATTATATTTCACCTGATTATTATTCTATCTAATAATATAACTTCCGTTAACAGATGGAGGCCTTTTTATGCAACGTGATTATTTAAGTCATATTCTGATGTTTACAGAACTGAGTATTTTAATGGATTATATTGCAACTATATATTTGACAACATATTGAACTAGAGTCTAGGAGCATATTCTGTTCTATGCAAAGCTCTAAACCGTACATATCTGTGTTTTATTGTTTTAACTTTCAAACTTAGATTGCATTCTATTATATATCGCTCAAAACATTAAAACATATCAGCATGGGACTGTGAAGACTGTTTAATTTCATTGAAATCGCGAAACGATCTAAGTTTACAGCTAGTAAACAGCTGTTTTGTCCCAGTATAGAACTCCTAAGTAGTAAACAAAGTTATAGATGCGTACTGTTGAGGAGCTTCATTACAGTTTTGTTTGTATGACATTTTTCGGCTATTCAAAACTGATATGATCATACTCCATGAGCTTTTCCGGTCAATTACTGGCTATCTAGATTAAGACAAGATTATCACGTTTAAATCTTAGCCACCACATCGATAATAACATTTATCCAAAATAATACTTATCCATAATTAATTGACATTCACAGTGAGATTGAAACCCAGTATCGATTACTTATAGTTCAAGTGTATGCATCAACACCGAGATGAAGATGTATTCATTTGATGAGTTTAAAGTGAAGTGAAACACTAGACCTAAGCTCTACCGCTAGCCATAATATAAGATAATAAAAACTCGTGGCTAAAGACAATAGTCAAAGCATCTTCTCAGGGTTCACATATTCCAACAATGACTAATAGGAAACAGCATTACCAACTAATAATTCGAAAGAGCAAATCCATATACGGAATATTTTTGCCGAAATATTATAAATTAGACTTGATTTACTAATAAACAGGTTTATTTTATAATATTTTTATGTCTTTTAAGTACCCTGGTTGTTTCAAAGCGTTTTCTCGTCTGGAAAATTTAAAAATTCATATACGTTCACATACTGGTGAAAGACCATTTATTTGTCAACAGGACGGTTGTGATCGTACATTTTCAAATAGTTCTGATAGAGCAAAACATCAACGTACTCATATACACACTGTAAGTTTATATTTATAAATTCTTAAATGAGAAATGTTAATTTACTTGGTAATGTCGAACACCAATGCAATCAGTTATTCAGTGATATATAGCTCAGAACTTGGAGCATGCGATTATTGGTTAATACTACCACACCACATTAACACGGTTAGAAGAAATTATCAAGAAAAATCCCAGATTTTCAAAAGCAGTAGTAGTCGTAGTAGTAGATATTTTATCATAGTAAACAGAAGAATGAAAGCTTATTGATGAAAAAGTTCAGAAATTATTTTTTAAAACCGTACGCCTTAATACAAAAGCCTATTTTTAGCGTAGGATTTTTGGTGAAGATAGTTAAATTTTGTGGTTTTACTTTAAAGATTGATTGTAGCTAAACAAGCATTAAAAATTATAAAATACTGGACATTGGTTCTGTCCTGGTATGGGACTTCTTAGCTGCGTGTACTTACGAATCCCTTCAAGAATAGAACTCGGGGCCTTTAGATACTGACTTGGGGTCATATTCACCAGATCACTGAATGGTTTAAGTCCTTAATTTCAGTAATTTCACAATATTGTGTGATTATCATTGAATACCATTGTTGGGTTGCTTACTTACTCCTGACATTTTTGAAATTCACTAGTCGCAGCTTCCCATTAGAGTATTAGGAATGGGGCAGTTGTTCATCACTGACTTAAGATGAAAAGTACACTATATAGTGAAATGACTGAAATTAAAGAGTAAACCATTGGACGATAACTCAATGTTTTAAAAGTAACGAGCTCGGCACGAGGCCTGGAGATTTAAGGTTAGATATTTGGTAACGTTATGGATGCTCATTGTTGGCATATCCTATACTAAAATAAAATTTCCTTTCGAAACCTCCTGTTTTCTTCCAATGATTATCTAGCTACAATCGGTCCATGACGTAATTTATAAAAGCCTTTTCACTAATATCAATAAGATTGCTTAAAGTAACTACAGTTTATAGAACTATTTCATTGTAAAACAATATACTTCAACTATTTTCTTAGTATTGCAAAGGCAAGTGGCTATCAGGACTCAGTGACCGAGTGGATAACGCGATGGCGTGTGAAGCGAAAGGTACTGTGTTTGAGTCCCAGAGTGAACATCAATTCTGAGATGCAGGTACATCCAGCTGACGAGTCCCAAATTGGACGAAACGCGTGTCCTGGATCCCACTGCTAGCCACTATCCATTTTTGCTTACCACACTTCAACTATGTTAGTTAATATACCAAAAATGAGTCTTAGTATTTTTATGAGTTGTTTTTTCTTACTGACACAAACTGAAATGAACAAAAATATGATTGTTACTTATTTAAGTCAATCCATTAGACTTATAATAACATAGAATGACAAGATAATTAGTCTTAGACAAACCGCCATAGATAAGAATGTTTATATTCAAGTTAATATTATGATTAATTTGTTCTTATTTTATGAATCATTATTGGTGTACACCATGTGTCAAATTATTTTATTTTGTAAAAAAAATTGACGCCACATTTATTGTTTCATTAATGAAGGAAAAACATTAATAATAATAATAATAATTATTATTATTATTTGTATCATTAATCATAATTGACTCCATTTAGTAATGAACACATGTTCCAGTTGATTTATTATTATTTCTTTTTCAAAACGAATATATATATATATATATAGAGGTATCTGCTAGAGAAGATACTTTCATTCAGTGATGGAACTTGTCATATAACCAGCAATGCTGGTTACAGTAAGACTTGAACTAAGTAACCGTCCCTAGTAATTATTTGAAAGGTAACAACAGAAATTAATCCATTCAATATTGATTCATAATATTGTCATCTATCCAGTAACTAGTGAAACTTTTTTGTTAAATATTTACTGATTTTTTAATAACTAAGAGCAGTCTGGGAATAAAAAATTTGTTTTCTACATCATTATGAAGTAGACTATAGATTTATCTCAGTTTAAGATTCCATAAATATACACATTAATAATTTCATATGATTTCAGATAATCAATTATTTAACTCTATGTAAACGGTTTTTGTGAATATTATTGTAATTCAATAGTTGAGTTCATGAGTCAATTGAAGCTAGACCACCATCGAAAACCTGGAAGCATTGAATGGCCGTTTCGTTCTAGTGTAGGACTCCCCAGCAGTACTCATCCACGATCTCGTCCCACGGGACTCGAACCCAGGACCTATCGGTCTCGCGTGCGAACGCTTAACCTGTACATCACTAGACCGGCATCCAACGGTGTTATTGTTCAACTTCAACCGATCCAGGGAATTGAGCTCCCGTTCACCATTATTCAATTCTCACAATGAAAATAATATCTTTAATCAACTATATAAGAATGAAATATAAATACTTTGAAAATAATGATTAATCATAATATCTAGTCAGCTGTTCCTGTTGTTGTTTTGTTTTCTTCTAGATGATTACTTTCAAATGATACTTCTTTAAAACAATTTAATTATTTAATTCTAAAACCTCAGTTTCCTTTTACATTCTTAGTAATAAGATAAAACTGTTTATATTTTAGAGTAACAATAGTTTTTTGGTTTTGTTTTTACTTAGAAATCATTGAACCCAAATTTTATTACAGAAAATATTGTATTTTCCTCTCATTACTTCTATTCGTTTCTGGAATAACCCTTAACTTACTACATAGGTGTACATTTCTTATCTAATAATTTAAATAGGTCTAAATTATTAATTGGTATCTACATACAAATAAGCGTACTACGCTCGTATGATTTTGAGATGGTGGAAAAGATTTGTAGCTCAGGTGGGTGATTTTGATAGAGTTTTTTGTCTAAGCTGACCGAATCATCCAGCTCAGAGAACAAAACTCCATCAAAATATAAATAAGCTTTATATTCAATTATCCAATCGTGTTTCATTTCTACTCGTTTAATGTTCAATAGTGAAGTGGTCTTGAAAATTAAAAAGTCAACTAAGCTATGAATATCTCTGAACACAGTTTCAACTAACTAGCAAGCGCTAAAGAGAATAAAATCATTGTTTTATTCTAATACTTACTGAACGAATGAGTAATATGTTATCTTCCCATTAATTCAAATAATTCCCTACCTAAATACGAACTTATATCAGCAGGGATAAAATCAACTATTAGGTAGGTATGCGTTTTGAAGCTATTTGATAGTATTTGCTGATAATTCTACAATATGGTCAAAATTTAAACCTTCAGTCTACATGGCAAATGGATTATCTTTATAGTAATGCGTTGCTATTCAGTGGTATATTTTTCTGACTTAAAGCTATTATCGATATGGCATAACCATCAATTAATGTCGTTGGTGATAACCATCCTATTCTCAAATTGATCAAACTCCAGTAGTCATGACTAATTAATAATAATCAACTACATGAGTAACATAAGTTCACAAAAAGTTACTTTCATTACAAAAAGACTGGTTTAGTAAGTAACTATGAAGATAGATTTTTTACAGGACATCGCTTTGATTTTCATTTTTACAAACTTTATCCCTTGATTGTATGAACTAAAATTTGACGTTCTTACCACTTCTTTTTGACTTAGGACTTTAGTAGTAAATGTCTGTAATTTATGTACTGATATTCAAAAATTGGAATCAATTAATCTATTTAGCCATATATGAATCCTGAGCGGATTATCTAGATATAGCCTTTAGTCACCCACTTTAGCATATCTTGAATATAGTTTTCAGTTGATTCCATGATGCGCGTTTCGTCCCTCTCGTGACTCATCAGCCTGGTGTGTCCGGAATTACAAAACCTTTTTGATATCTTCACACCTGTTGGACACGTTAATGGCTTTCTAGACTCAGTAGTTCTGTAGGTAACAAGTCGGACATTTGGAGCGAGTGGCAGTGCTCAAATTCCGGTTTAATCATATCAGCAATGAGAAACATTTAAACCTGACTGACGAGCGCTGATAGGGTCGAAACACGTTCTAACCACTTATCAAATAAACCATAACTTCAATTTATTATTGGTTGATGAAGAACTATGTAATAAAGTGTTATTGAGTTATGTTTCATTTAAATTTTTCTAGCATACTTGCATATACAAACAACTTATTATTTAGTTAGATTGGGATACTTAGTTTTACAAAATATAGAAGTATTTTTAAAATATCATAATTTTATTATTTCCAATTGCCAATTAAGCAGAATATTTTTTTCGAAGGTAGATTTCATATGATAGCAATTTGAGGCGATTTACTTGGATTGGTATCATTACCATGGTTTGCCTTGATAATTTCGAATAAATTGAGCATTGAGTAGATTGTTATAAATAAAAATAACATGTTTGTAATATCCCAATGAGTAGAAAATTAGATTTCCTGACAATTCGTGGTTAAGTGAAAACCACTACTTCAGAGAATATATAACCAAATTAACATTAATCCAAGTTTGTAAGCAAAGATGGATAGTGGACACGAACCCAGTACCTTTCACTTCAAACGCCATCACGTTAACCAGACGAATCGCGCATCCTGGACTCCACTGCTAGCCACTATCTGTCTTTGTTTGCAATGCTTGTGAAATAAGGCTATATCGAGGCAATACGCACAGTATGTACATATGCCAATAAGAAACTGACCAGTTGCAGTCTTAAACATCAATGGGAAGATTCAAACAAGTAATACTAAGTGAATTAATCCAAACTTGTTTGGTTATTTATTCTCTGAGGAAGTGGTTTACACCTAGTTCTCCATGATCAAATATCTTTCCTAGCGTCAATATTTTGTATTTAAACCTTATAGCAGAGAAAAATGGAAGAAGATAAGACTATCAAACAACAGCACTTGTTATAGTAAATCAAATTTACCATTTGGCTAGTAAACTTTACAAGTTGAACAATTACAGGAATGAAATCAGTTTATTCATATAAGTATTGGAAATTCAATAAAATCTCAAGAATTTAAGTGTGATCCATGAAATACTCTGAAAGTTCACTTGAAAAACGTCAATTAATTTATAACAATATTAATAT